TGCCCCATACCAGCCAGATCCAGGCTTGCAGGCAGCCACAGAACCGTCTGAAGAAGGGCATTGGTGCCAGATGGGGAATGGAGAGGTGGGCAGGAGCCAGGCCACATACTGAAATACTTATGAATGAAATCATACATGGTCTGTGATTTGCATTAAAATAACAAAAGAATAGGAGAGTGCATGGGAGTAGAAAGGAAGAAGTTTGGCCACAAGTTGATAATTGTTATGATGAATAGATGGGTGTCCAGTATATTATTCTGATTACTTTTATGTGTTTCAAATTCTTCATAAAAATTTAAAAATAGTCCTGACAAGGAAATATCTCAACAGATTCCTTTATTTTTGACATTTCGAAATAAATACCAAAATAATTTTAACGCTGAATCTGCTTTTAAAACTAGACTCCCACATTTGGAAATTCTGAGATGTAACAATTTGCCCCTTCCACCCTCCCCAAACCCCTGAGAGAGTAGAAGAGGGCTGGGAAGGGGAAGAGGGAGGTCAAAGACAGGGAATTAGGTAGGACAGCAGGCTTCCTGGATCAGCCTCAGCCCAAAGGCATCCTTGACCCACTCCTTCCCAAGATGCACACTTTATAAGATCAGATTCAAGGAAATAGCCAATGGTGTGGATAGACATGGATGAAGAAGCCAGAGACCTAGGCCTGAGCCCAAGCTCTGCTTCTGGGTCTTAATTACCCCATCAGAACAAACGAGAGGGACATGGACATGAGTTACCCTTGGGGCTGCACCAGTTAATTCTGCCTGCCAACCCCCATGCAGTCTTCTAGACCCACTCTTACCCGAAAGGAGCCCCAGAGGAAGACACGGCCATCCTCGGTGAGGGCCGCTGTGTGACTGTCTCCAGCTGACACCTGTACCACATTCTCTTGCAGTTCCACTTTCCCGGGGACCATCTCTGAGCCTTCCACTGATGTGTCCCTTCCCAGGGCACCCTCATCATTGCAGCCAAAAGAGTAGACCTGTGCCCAGGATACCTCCATTAGAGCAAGGTCTGGCCTTTCAATTCATTCTTGTTCATACCACCCGCTTCTCGGCTTGCCAGCTCCATCTCCGTAGAGAAATGTGTGTGGCTCAAAGCTCCTTCCCCAAGCCCCCCAGGCCCTGTCCAATCCTGTGCCACTTCCCTCAACCTACCTGGCCACTTTTGCTTAGACACACGGTATGCATGCCCCCAGCCTCGGCCTGCACAATGTCTTCCGGAATGGGCACCAGGGCTGGCTTCTTCCTCTCCAGCACATTCTCTCCCAGCCCCAGCTGGCCCACGTCACCCTGGCCCAGTGTCAGCACCAAGCCTGGTTCTGTGCTGTGGGACCTATGTGAGACTGAGGGGTAAAGAAGACAGCCCCTGAGTGTGTAGGATGAAGGGAGAGAGGAGAGGTCACTGCATGGGCTCTGGGATCAGAGAGACCTGGGTTCACGCCCCCACTCTGCCACAGACCATTAGCATGACCTTTCGGGGCCTAGGTTTGCCTCACTGGTGAAACAGGGACAACAGAGTACCCATCTCAGAGGGTTTTTGTAAAGATTAAAAATTTCACATTATTAATGTGAAAGGGAGGAAATGAAAACAAAGAAACACTCAATATTGTGAAATGAATCTTGATGGGGGAGCACAGTGAGGACACAAGATAGTTTTCCTGATTAGCTATAAGTTCTTGATAAGAAGCCACAGCGCTAACAGTGAGGGCTCAGATACCGTCTACCCTTTATTGACTGCTTGCTTTACTAAAGTTAAATTGCTCTGCAGTCCCTCAAATTATGTTACAGACCTTCTTTAAGGCTCCATTTTATAGGAAAGGAAACAATGCCTCAGAGAGGTTAAGTAACCTACCCAGAAACACAGAGCTAATAAGTTTGCACTGAAACCTAGGGAGCCTACAAAGCAGTCCCTGGCCTCCATCCTCAGGCTATGACTTAACTCCTGGGAACAGTCACACTGACAACCTCCGTTCCCACCCCGGAGCACACGCAGACCTACAGCTGAGGGAGGGAGGGGCGGGAATAAGGGCCCACACAGGTATTTGCAGAGGTAAGCGCCAACTAGTGGGCGGCCCAGGGCCATCTGATGACCAATGGCAACCACCCACAGTCCCGGACAGCCAATGATATCCAGCCCCTCCTCCGGGGGTGTGGCCACGGCTGCCAGGGCCTCTGAGGCTGCTCAGAGGGTGCGCTGGGCAGGGAGCCACCTGGTCGGGTTTTCTGGTCAGGAGGGCTCGGCCCATAGGGACCTCGGAAGGAGCGGGCGCCTGGAACGTGGCGGGAGGCAACGGCCCTCACTGCCTGGTTACGAGAGTCTGCAAAAGACAGACACTGTCTGAGTGTGGATCCACACTTACACCTCCTGGATTGGGGGTGGATCTCTCTACTCCCTGTCTCCCTCCAGGGTTCCAGGAAAGAGAAAACCACAGCCACCTCCCTTAAATGCTACCAAGATATTATCTCACTTTCCTTACAACAGCCCAGTAAGGTTGGTGCTGTTCTCCCTTCTATTTTATGAAAAGGATAATCTAAGCTCAGCGAGGTTAAGTGACTTGCCCCAAAACACACACCTAGAAAGTAACAGAGCCAGGACTCGAACCCCACGCCTGGAAGTTAGTGGTCTTAACACATTAATTCCTAGGGCAAAGCCCTATGGTCTATTGTTTTGCTGGCACTGCCTGCATGCTTTTAAACAAATCTCTGTGCCTTTAGGATTCCCAGAGGGTAGAATTCGATGAGGTACAGGGGACTCTCCAGCTGGGCCCTCGGCTTCAAATGTCTAGGAGGAAGGAGCCCAGTCCCAGATTCTGGGGGCTCCAGGAGGCCGCCCATACCCAGAAAAGAGGCCAAGACCAACTTACCTTTCACCTTCTTGCTTTTGGAGAGAGCATCTTCTGGGGGTGACCTTCTTTTAGCTATTCGCTTGGGTGGCATCTTCTTGTCCTGAAAAACCCAGGCATATACTCAGAAATGCCAATCATTTTCCTGCTCTAATGAGACAATATTTATCAAAACAAAAACAAAAACCTTGAAAAAAGGTGAGAGGAATTACCCAGCAAGTCTACTTCTCAGAATCTACCTGAGAACAAGAAGAATACACCTAAAGCTCCACAAATATTCTCCACTGTATTCTTCATAACTTTAAAATGGAGCTACCCATGCTTTCAGTAGTAGGGGACTGGCTAAATAATATGTGTATATTTATGATAGAACAGTATGAAGCCACTAAAAGTGATACTTTCGGAGACTGAATAGGAAGATGTTCACCACTGTCAAATAATATATAAGCAGACTGAAGAACAGCCCAGCTCATTTTTGAAAAATAAATGCATACACACACACACACACACACACACACACACAAGTGTAGGAAAATGTAAAGGAAACACATCCACTATTAACAATGGTAACCTCTGGAAAATGGGATTATGGGCAATTTTTACTTTTTTCTTTGTACCTTCCTACATTATCTAAGATGTTTAACAAAGAGAATTACTTTTTTTGTTGTTTTATTATAAAAAATTAAAACACTGAAGTATCCAAGTATCCCTCATAACTCCCTCCTAACCCCGAGATAATCACTAGTAACTTTGTAACTAATGGTTAACTAGATAACCAAATGTAACTGATGCATTACTGTTATTATCAGACTTTTTCTTTTAACGCTACTCTCATTAAATAAAACCAACAAGACCATTTGTGCCCTTTGATCCAATAGTGCCACTTCTGGGACGAGCCTGGCTTTCCTAAACAGACCAACAAGAGATAAATGCTGTATATATACTCTTACTAACATACAAACACCAGGTATAATAAAAGGAGGAAAGAAAATAGAGGAAAAGGGGTGTTGGACCTAGGATGATTCAGAGCAGCTGAAAGCTTCAGCCATCAGCCTCTCCCCACCCCTCTCGCTTTAACTGCTGCTTCTCCCTAAGGTTTCCTCATATTCTTCCCTAAGGATGCTGAGGACAGAGACATTCTCAATTCTAATCCAGCCCAAATTGTGTCCAAAGTCTTTTTTCTCCATATAGGCACCTCTGGAAATAAATCTTTATCGAGTTTGTGAAAGACAATCAAGTTGTCTAAGCCTGGAGCTCCCAAACTCTGGAATGTGAACCCTCTGTGTGGCATGGATGGCAGGGGCCAGGGCACTTGAGACTATCCTGATGCAAGGTGGTGGAGCACAGTCTCTGGAGCCAGAAGCTGGGCTCAGCTACTTTCTAGTTGTGTGACCTGGGGTAAAGTTATTTAATCTCTTTTTGATTCAGTTTCCTCCTCAGTAAAATGGGAATAATAACAATATCTACATCTTTGTGATGTGTAGGATTAAATAAGCTAATACTATAAAAAGTAACTATATAGTTAGTGCTTAGTAAATCAATATTGGTATTGTTAAGATGTCTAGGGTCTGCCCCAGGTAAGCCTCAGGAACAGCCCTAAATTAATCCAACCCTCCTCTCCTCCATTTCATAGATTAGGGATGGAGAGGCTACAAATGGAATTTCCAGAACTATAAGAGTCTTTCTCAGGCTCAACTTTGGGCCTAAACAGCAGCCCTTCCTTCCATCTGTCCTTCCCTTCCTTCCAGTAGGTCCTACAGCCTTGGCCTCTCCAGTACCCACTCTACAGTATATGAACAAGGCCAGTGGCCTTGGAATTTCTGGCACATTCTGCTGACTACCCTACAGGAGAACAAAGTGTTGAGAATGGGGAAGTAGCCAAGGGCCTGTGTGGGTTGGGCCTCTGCAAGTTGAGCTTTTCTACAGGTTGTGACTGGCCCAGTTCTGACTCTGATGAGGTGGCAGTTCTGAGCTTAACCCAACTTTTATTCTCATGAGAAGGGTCTCCTCCTCTCCATCCCAGCTCTTTGAGGCCCCTCATCCCCCACGAAAAATGCACATTCTTCAGGATTACAGGGAACTGGAGTCACCTGCCAGAGCTGTGGCTTGTTCCGCCCGTCTTTGGCCAGCAGTCTTAATCTCTCTGAAGTGTGTCCTCACCTGTAAAAGGGGATGCCCTGACTACTTCTCAGAGCTGCTGTCAAGACTGAATGAAATGTCTGTAAAGGACTTTGCAGTGCCAAGCATACAGAGACATCGTCAACAGGTTCTATGACTTTAAGTGAACCAACTACAGCATCTCATCATTGTAAGGAAACAACGAATGAAACAATGTTATTTGATGACCTGCTGTATTCAGTACATGGCAGAGTTGGTTCAGTCATTCCACAAATATTTATCAGAGAGCTTATTACCACGGTTTGGCTTTGGGCTAAGTGTAGCAAGAAAAAAGGATCCTAACCTTCTCCCTGTTCTCATGGAGCTTACATTTTAGTGGGAAAGAAAAAAAAATTATTACAGATGGTGGCGTGTAAAGAACAGGCAATGTGATATATAAGAGAAAAACTTGAGGTACCAAAGACAATATGAATGTACTTAACGTCACCAAACTGTACATTTGTAAATGGCTGAAATGGTAAATTTTATGTTACGTATATTTTATTTTATCGCAATTTTAAAAGAAGGAATAACTGGGATAGGGGAGGAGAATGGTCATGGAGGTAACATTCAAGTTAAGACCTGAAATATGAGAGAAAGTCAGTAGCGGAAGACCTGGACAAAAGCGTTCCAGTAAACAGTGTGACGTGTTAAGGAATCTGAAGAGGCCAGTGTGGCTGTAGCTGGAGAGCGATTGGTCAAATGGCACAAGGGGAGCAGGGGCTGGATCATGCAAAGTC